AAACTTTCACAAAATTACCAAACCAAGCCCAACATCTCAAAATACCAAAATTTAAAGACAAAACCCATAGAGAGGAGTAGGTTATCCCTACCTCAAATTCGGAGCCCCAAAGGAGATGAAGACCAAAACCAAAATGCTCCAAACCTCGAAATTTTCAGATCAAAAGGAAGCTCTCGACGATCAACACAACTTTTGTGAAGACAAAAGGTGAGTAAACGACCCGCGTAACACATCCTATAACTCAAATACAACGTAAGAAAGGATGTAAACAAGATAATAAACAACTACCAACATCCACGGACACATGTCCGGATCACTGTACAACAAGGGTAAACCCGGGATCGCTATATGTTCTATTCCCTACAGTATTTGTATGCTTTACTATTTGTATCTCATTGCAGATAATCTCTCTGTGATAACCATGTTTTCATAGGGATGTTGGTAACAATCATTTGGTGGGAACTATTAGGGAACTAATACGTATTGAGGGATGCTTTCCATCTCTTCGCAACCTGTAAGTCTATGCTTCAGCGAATTTTGAAGTACTTAATATTTTCCAGTTTAAGGCTATCAGAGTCGTAGTTCTTATAAAAACCATTTTTGATCCTTTGTAATTCTGATATGCAGTTATCTGAATAATAACTACCTTACGGGTGGAATCCCAGCTCAGCTAGCAAACTTGACTAATTTGGAAATCTTGTAAGCATTTTATTTTCTTTTTAACTGTATTAAGACTGTTATCTATCTTCTTTCTGGATTTATTTTTGTTATAATTGAAACCATCTTAAAAAATTGACTGCTATGTTTGTAATAGGCATTTATCATACAACAAAATGTCTGGGTATCATACCATCTGGACTTGCTCATATTCCCCGATTGACTTCCTTGTAAGTTTATTTTTGAATTTTCTGTCCACTCTACAAATGTGATCCAGTTATGTATGAGAAGTTCTATTTTTGCAATGTATCTAGAGGAATTTCGTCTTTCTAAGAGCAATACACATAAATTTGGCAGTTCGGATTTTAAGTCTGGACTTTTTTAGCTACACTTTCTGGGCATACTATTCATTGGATCACAATTTGGCTGATGTGATTGTATGGTTTGAAATAGTCACCTATCATGTCTTCATGACAAGAAGGACAAGACAAATCTGTATAATAAAACACATTAGTTTTTGAAAAATGTTGTGTGCTATAGTTTGGGGTTAATATTGAATAAATCTAACGGTTGGTGTTATTTCTCTACTGATGAAGTACCTTTAGGCACGGGCAATTTTGCTAGTGGTCAATATTACAATTGCATATTGAAAAGTTATTTGGATTTGCAGAACAAGTTTGTTAGTGGAACCAAGGTTGAGTTAGGATTCCTATTTCATCGATACACTTTGTTTCGCTCCTTGACATCTGTGACCCAATCTTCAATATTGAGAAGATTTCCTCATCCCTTATGACTTTGATTCATGGCTTTTAACTGTTGTTTTTATCACAATTAATGCCTTTTTTTTCCCTTCTTTAATTTGCTTTTCCCCTTTTTTTGCATCTTTGTGCTTTTGTGTATCGGGACAGCATCTTTTTTTTGGGTAGGCATGGGACAGCATCTTAAGCTTGCTTTCATTGCAAGTACCTGGATCATAATCAATTTACTGGGAGAATCCCGAATGCATTCTATAAGCACACTTTCTTGAAAGAAATGTGAGTTTCTGTCTTCAATCAGTACAAGCAAATTGCAATTACCCAACACTAGGTGAAATGCTAATTGATTAAATGTTGTCACAGGTATATTGAAGGAAATGCTTTCCGGCCAGGTGTGAACCCTATTGGCGTCCACAATGTCCTCGAAGTTTCTGACACAGAGTTCTTGTTTTAGTCAAAGCTTCCACATATTATTTACTCGTAGAATTGTTTCTTTTTGTTCTTGCTAAAACTAGGGTGTTTCAGTTTGAATTGGAATGTAGTTCTATAAATAGGATGTATATAATGTACACTAGTGTTTTGGGAAATTTAAGAAATTTTGGAAGTAGGTTGTTTGACAGTTTAGAAAGGTGTTGTTATCAGTGAAGGACAAGAGCAGCGTAGCAGAGTGGGAGAAGACCTATCAAAGCCTTGGTGCTGAACTAGAAGTAAATAACCAACTCTTGAGCATGAAGAAAATATTGTCACTCAGTTACAGTGATTTGCCTCACTATCTAAAGCTTTGTTTTCTGTACTTGAGTGTTTTTCCAGAGGACCATCTAATTGAACATTGGAGATTAATTTGGTTATGGATAGCAGAAGGATTTGTAGAAGTAAAAGAAGGAGCACCTATAGAACAAGTTGCGGAGGGTTACCTCAATGAGCTCGTCAATAGAAGCTTGATTCAAGTGGCGAAGATAAATGGTAAAAGGAGGATTAAATTATATCGCATCCATGACCTTTGGCGTGAAATTATTGTCTTCAAGTCAAGAGAGCAAAACATTGTGACAATAGCCAGTGAACGAGACACGAGGTGGCCTGAAAGAGTCCGACGCTTGTCAATCCATGATCATTTGGAACATTTACAACTAAGCAAGCGTTTCACTCAGCTACGTTCTTTGCTCCTATTTAGCACAACTTATTCACCAAGCATGCCGTCCATGCTTGCATCACTAAGAGATCTAAAGCTAATGAAGGTGTTGGATCTGAGTGGTGCCTCATTAAAGATTTTCCCAAATGAAGTTGTCAAACTAGGCCATCTCACATATCTAAGTTTAAAGGGAACTGAGGTAAAAAAAATTCCAAAGTCAATAGGAAGGCTCAAGAACCTGGAAATCTTGGACCTCAGACACACCTACGTCACTGAGTTGCCTGATGAGATCCTAAATCTCCAAAGATTGCGCCATCTCTTGGCGTTTCGATATGAAGAAAAACGTAATTATTATTCTTTTAATAATGAGTGTGGGTTCAAATCCCCGGTTGAAATAGGAAGTTTGACCTCCTTGCAGAAACTCGGTTCAATTGAAGCAAACCACGGCAGTGGCAGCATTGTACCAAGAGAGATAGGGAAGCTGACCCAACTGAAGTCATTAGGCATTATAAAGGTAAGAGGTGAAGATGGTATGGCACTATGCTCATCCCTTGAGAAGCTAATCAACCTTTATGCATTGTATGTTACTGCAACAGAAGAAGACGAGATCATTGATCTAGAATCTCTATCTTTGCCTCCTCGACTTCTCCAAACACTATTCCTGAAGGGACGTTTAGAGAAGTTACCGCATTGGACACCTTCTCTTCACAGCCTAGTGACAGTATGTCTACGGTGGCGCAAGTTAAAAGATGCCGATTCACTGCAATATCTTCAAGGTTTGCCCAATCTGGTTTATCTTGATCTTGTTGAGGCATATGAAGGGGAGGAATTGTGTTTCAAGGCTGGTGGGTTCCAGAAGCTTAAGATTTTATTGCTTATTAGATTAAAAGGATTGAGGCGGGTGACAGTGATGGAAGGTGCGATGCCTCATCTTGAAGAGCTATACATTGAGAATTGCAAATTGATGGAGGAGTTGCCCTCATGCATCGAACAGCTAATCAACCTTACATTGCTTGACTTATTTGATATGTCTCATCTATTGCTTTCCAAGTTGAATAGAGACCTGCAAGGTGGGGATTACTGGAGAATATCTCACATCCCTGAAGTTTGGATTGGGGACACAAAAGATGGGCGCTGGAGAGGAACTAATATGTAGAGGGAGAGAGAAAAAGAAAGTTTCTAACAGGTTTGAACTCTTCATATTCCAAATCCTTGTATTCTTTTGTTTTTTAATCTTTTTTTCCCTCAACTAGTTTATTTGAACTCCCCCCTGCCCTGCCTTTTTTTTATTTTTATGGACAAATAAGTAATCTTTTCTGCATTTGTAACTTTTCCATAACACATCTCTCAGAAAAAATGGCAAATATGTTTTATCATTTGCAATTATGACTCCAGTCAGAACCCAGTATTCTAATTGAGGGCATTTGCGAAATTGTGACTAAATTCTAACTTTGTAGTTAAACTTCTACCTATATCTTTCCAACCTTTCAATGTGCGACTGGTTATAAGCTCCCTTCATTTATCCCCTTTCATCACCGTGACACAAAACACTACAATTAACCCCTATGGTCAAGTCAAATACAACCAAAACAAAATGACCTTGTATTGCAATTCTTTCAAACAAGTGAATTGATGTACCATTTATTTTCGGAGTGTGATATGATTTATAAAGTAATGGAATTCATAATGGCGATTTGGAAGAAGTTTAGAGTTACATCGACATGCTTGTAACACAAAACAACACATTCAAAGACAAGGATTTTTAGGGAGATGTGGCCCATCTTGGGCTATGAAGAAGCTTATGGAAATACAGAGGCGCTTAGAGAAGCGTACCAACCAAATGGAAATTTGGACAAGAACAAGGAGGAATATGTTTTCGAATATGTTGGCTATTCTAAAGATCAGGTTTTTTAGTGTTTGAGGTGAAAAAAAGATTTGGTTGTTCAAATTGTTAGTTCTTATTTTGTTGGGACCAGTTAGAATGTGTTTATAATATTGGGAGTCTTTGCAAGTTTCTTGTTTCTCTTTTAACTTTTGAGAGTTTCCATATTTGTACAAAATGATATTCACAATCCCCTTTTAGTCTCTCACACTTTTTTTCTTTGGTCATATTGCCTCTCACAAGGGGAGTGAATATCATTCCCCTATTTTTAACTCCAATTGGGAGTCTTTTAATGGGTCATAAACTAGCTCACTAAATTTATTTAGATGCCTTCTGTTTTTCAGAACATTTTAGTCTTATTTGATTGCTATATTGGTGTATTATGTTTCTAGAAAAAGTTGACAACAGAAAGCCTGAAAGCCCTTTAATCTTGTGACAATTCTATCATCTAGCCCTTCAATTAGGAGGGAGGTCAGTGACTACACAAGGTGGGCTACTAATGTCTCAGGTACCTTCTCTGCTTCTTCTCTGTATTATATTAGCTATTTGGATGGGGCCACTCATGCGATGGTGAGTAAACTGGTGTGGAGTTCAGCCTTGCCTCCCAAAGTGCAATTTTTTGGCTGGCTTGCTTAGAAACATAAAGTGAAGACAGCTACATTTTTGCAAAGAATTGGTATTCTCAATGGCACCTCCTCCATAGCTTGTAGTTTTTGTAAGAATTCTAAGGAATCTGTGCTTCATGTTTTATTGCACTGCCCTTTTGTTTGGGAAGTGTGGTCAACCTTATTAAGATGGTGGGGTGTGGAGTGGGCCATCCCAGGTTCTGTTGAAGGAGTACTGCTTTGGTGGGAGGGTCAGCCTATGAAGAAAAATGAAAAGAAAATTTGGAGAATTATTCCCCTTGCTACTCTGTGGTCTATTTGGAAACTTAGAATTGATTGTGTATTTAGGTATGCCAAACCTGCAACTTGGGATTTGTTTTAGCTGATAAAAATCAGAGTTGCTTTATGGTTCAAAGCCTCTTACAAAGATCTTCATTGCTCTGTGAGTGATTTTGTTTTCAATCTTAATTAGATCAAAGTATGTGTTGGTGGAGGTTGAGATGGTCTTGATCTATGGAGTGAGGTCTGCTGTGCTTATAAGTAGGGTGTGCTGTACGATATTGTTGTTGATTGCAGGTTGGTGGTTTGCTGTGTTGGAAGGGTGTCTGTAAGTCTTTGCTATTTAAGCCTTATTTTTGTTCTATTGTGGTCCTTTGTTTGCGGCCCTGTTGCTGCTGTGCTCTGATTTTTTGGTTGGTTTCTCGCTAACTCTTGTGGATGAGTTTGCATAGCTCTATTTCTTTCTCTCATCCCTTTATTGAAGTAATTGTTATTGAATATCAATAAAGGTCTCTTTCTTTTGCTAATAAAAAAAAATTGTAGCTATTAGTGATTTACCTGTGTCAGGCTTGGATATGGGAATTTTGATGAAATTGATTTTACCATAGCATTCCAGCTCCCTACACTAGTGTCTCCAATTGCTTTCCATTTGGCAGGTTCTAGATGAAGGTGATCGGATGCTTAACATGGGATTTGAGCCAGGAATTCGTTCTATATTGAGCCAAACATGTTCTGGTATGGTGTATCACTTGATTTCCTTTTTTTATTGTTTGTTTTGCTTCTTCTGGTATTTTGTATCACTTATTTTTCCTCTTTCTGTTTGTTTATTTTGTTTCTGTCTTTCCATTTTCTTCTCTTTAATTGATTTCATATTGTAGTAAACACATGGCGCCCTTAGTAGCCTCATCCGTATCTACATTTTAGTTTGAGTCCTTGTAAACATTTTATTTTTATTTTTTCAAATTGCTTTGATTAGTTTTTTGGGGTTCCTATAGGGTGTTGGGTTGGGATGCTAAAATCAAAGAAGTTTTGGCATTTCTATTTATGGTTTAAACATATAAACTACATTAATAAATTATGGAAAAATTCCCAGTAAGTTCAAATTTTTCCATTAAATTCCCATCCATCCTTTTAACGCTACAATGAGAGGATTGATTCATGTGTTAATAGTACTCCATGGAAATTTTATGAAAAAGTAGGACTTAATGGGAATTTTCCCATAAATTATTCCACGATCTTTGGGATGCAATATAGGAGTGACTGGATGAAAGTGATTTGCTAACCATTCTATTGTACAAACTAGACAAAAAATATAAATAAAATTACCATGGAAGTTTCAAGTCCTTACAATAATTGTATTTTGGTCATATCATCTAGGAAATTTTGAAAATATTTGGTGGGTCATGAAAGAACTGATATGTGAAATCTTGTTATTCAATGAAAGAATGTTGCAATATGAAGCTGAGTTGCAATACAAGATGACCTCATGTAGACCTATATGATAATGCTAGATAACCTCAGTAGACAACAAATTATGCATTTATGGGTGTACATTAATAAAAAATTACGGAACATGTGCACGTAATAGTCCAATGTAGTTTGTCTATAGTTGGATACAAAATGAACATGCTACACAATAATGCTTGCAAAAGCCTTAGCACTAGAACAAGAGAGATACCTGGTCTATAATTAGCTCCAAAATATTTGATTACATCTATTTCATTGAATTTTTTTTGCTTCAAGCCTCATGGAAAATTTATTTATACTAGTGATTGAAAACTCCCAAATTTATGCAGCTCGTCAAATGGTTAGGTTTAGTGCTACATGGCCTACAGATGTTCATCAATTAGCTCAAGAATTCATGGATCCCAATACAGTTAAGGTGCGGTTCTTTGTCCATGACATCAACTTGGTCTATATTATTCTAGTTTCTTTGTTTGAAAAGATAAGCTTTATTTCATGTGGTTGTAGGTTAAGAGGATTTAACTGCCAACCATGATGTCATGCAGATAGTAGAGGTGTGGTTAGCACTGTGGTTGTTTGAAGAATATTTGACTCTCTTTGATGATTTTGTTGTACACATGGTTGTAAGCAACTTGCAGTAATGCGTCTTTTTTTTTTTTTCGATTTGTAATTTGTAGGTCTTAGATGATCGAGCACATGATCAACGTTTGGTTTCTTTGTTAGAGAAATAGCATAAATCACAAAGGTATCTTTGGCTAATCATTTACACTATTTTCCCCTTTCTGATTGGTTTAAGATTTATTCGAGTTTCAGTAAATTGTGGTGATGTTTAACCACCATTCTTTGATTTAACTTAATAGATTGCTTAGCACTGATTTTTCTAAATCTCTTCATATGCCCATGCAAGCTAAAGGCGTTGGTATTTTGGTTCTAATTATCAAATCTTTAACTTCATATATGTTCCCATTATATTAGTTAATAACCAAACCGAGCCAAACTAAGGCTTGTGTCCCAAGCAAGAGGGTCGGCTACATGAATCTTTTTTGCCATATTGTTTTAGTTGCGAGTGGATGGTGTAATATTGTGAATTATGTAGTTTATATTCTTCATTAAGGATAGTATAGTCCTTTAGGTTGTTAGGGTTTGATTAGGGTTTGACTCTATTAGATTATATATTTGTACTTGTTTGATTGATCATTCAACAATAATACAAACAAGCTTGTTATCATGGTATCAGAGCCACGACTCAGATGTTAGCATACCTTTCGTAGGTCATCATCAACCTTCGCAGCCCCTTTCTCTCTTTTTGCAAGGCCTTCACTGGGGTTCTTCATGGTCTCTGTTCTCTTTATTGCACTTCGCTCTTGCTGGTTGCTGGTTCTGAGCCCTAGATTGCATGTTCCTCTGGTTGCGTCAGAGCCCTAGGTCATCATCGACCATTATAGCCCCTCATCTGGTTAGATTGAAGCTCTGTAATTCCTTTGTGTGGCTCGGATTGGTGACCTCTCTCTCTTCCTCTAGTTCACATGATCAAAGTAAGGTCTGAAATTAGCCTCTTTGTCTCTGTCTCTAAAATTAACTTCTGGTTTTAGGTTCAGTCTCTCTCTCTCTCTCTCTGTGCTCTGTCTTGGTTCTCTCTGGTTGATATTTGTGGTGATAAGGTTATTATTAGATTGACCTAATTGGTTCTGTAATTATAGCAATAGCAACTTTGATTAGTCACTTTGCTTTTTTTTTACTATGTTGCTTAATTATTGTACTATGGCTGATGATAAATTCCAAGCTATCACCGTTAAGTTAGATGGTACCGATTACTCTTATTGATCTCATGTAATGAAAGATTTTATAATGGGTAAGGGCATATGGAACCGCGTGATTGGGGTGACTGTTAGACCAACGGAATCTCAGGAAACTGAGGCTGATGTTGCTAAATGGAATAAGGAAAATGCACAAATT